AAGCTTTGAAATAAATTAGCAAACATGGTTGAATGGATTAGCGATTCAAACCATAAGAAAGCTGGGTTAATGTCTATATTGGAAGCATTTTGAACTTATTGTTCGCGAAAGCTAATGGCTAACTTCGACCAACTGGAATTTGGTGTAAATGGTTGACAGTAGCCAGTAATTATTTGGCGTATTTAGAAATTCTCACACTGTTTTTGGGAATAAAAGAGACTGTTTATGCTCTATATTGTGAATTTTAGTTTATTTAAGGCATTTTTAGGGATATGGTTCTGAGACTCGATTTTGAGTCACGTGTATTTTACTCATACGATGCCTGCTTTGTGAATGAAGCTATTTACAGTTTCAGACTGAAAGAGTTCTTTTATAATGGGTTTAATTTAAAAATTTTAGCCTGCAGGTCAATCCACCAGATTCTCATATACGCAGTTGTTTACTGTTACTGAATAACTCACCCTTGTATGACTTAAAACAAAATAGTCTCTTCCAGGCATTGAGATATCTAGAATAGAGCAGAAGGAAAAATGCGCGACTCTTCTATGCCTTTTATTCGCTTCGTCACTATCTGGCTAATCTGTCGCCGGACCGCAGAAAAGACTAAAAGAGCAACTAAAAATGTGTTTACTTTCCATACTTTCTGTTAGGTTGGCCACATAAAGCCAGGAACTTCACTCTCCATTCTGGGAAACAGAGATGTTGAACTTACATCAGGAGCTGGGGAAGTCAACTCATATTCCCCTATCATGCAAGCAAACACAGATTTTCTAGTCAGAGATCAGGCGACAAGCGACACTGCAATTAATCGAGGTTACCCGCTATCTTTACAAGATACCAGACGTGATTCATCTTTAACAAATACTGACTTCCATTTTGAAGGTAATAATCAAAGGCTATCCGGCAATCCAAGTGCAAACAACCTTGCTTCAGACAAGAACCAACCATCAAGTAAGGCAGCAGCTAGACCAAAATTAGGAAAAACATCATGTAGTGAGAAAAGAAACAGCCCACCATATCCGTCACTCACGCAAGCAGTAAGAAACAATTGAACTTTATCAGTTAGTGGCAATAACATTGGTACCGGTCCCCTAACGTTAGAACCGTGGCAGCATGTTCTCCTCTCGTCTAAGAAGTTACAGATAATCCGTCGGCTCTCAAAGGAAAATAATCTGACAAAAGCTCTATCTTTGCAGCAGGAGGCAATTGAACATATTCTCCTTTCATGCAAACTTTCGGCTTACGAACATGGAGAACGTCCTTTACGTAAAATCAAAAGCGTGCATACTTCACTTGCCCAAGCTGTGAAAGTTGATTTACCCAAATCGAACCACTTATTCCAACAACAAGCTGCAAGCGTCACCAAAACTCCAAGCACTCCAGATACGTTTCCTAGTGCCAAAAGCAGCAATTCTGCATATCCTTCTCTTGTGAAAGCATTAAGAGATGGTCCACTGGCGTCAGACACAGGTCATCAAACTGAGGAACCTTTCGCGTATGGCAAAGGTGCTGCGTATCCTCCTCTTATACAAGCAGTCAAAAATAACTCCGCGGCCTCTGCCACATGTCATCAAAATGGCGGGGGAGAAAAAACTGTTTGTCCTCCTCTTCTACAAGTATTGAGGGAGAATTCAACAACATCAACCACTGGCAATCAAAGCGGCGAAAGCTCTTCGTATGGAAGAAAAGTAAATTCTATCAGTCCTCCGGTAAGGCAAGCAGCAATAGGTAACTCCCCGACATCAGTCATAGACCCTAAGACTGACGTAAGCTTGTCAAATGCCAATGATCGTAATCTCGTTTATCCTCCTCACATGGAAGCTTTCAGCTGTGGCCCGCCGACGGCGCTCACTCCATTCATACAAACAGTCAGGGAGACTCCACTGGTAGCGTTTGCTGATCAACAACATCTAGAGGGGGATTGCACATTCGAAGCAAATAATCCACTGTACTATCGGGGTATGCAGGTGGACACTGATGAAGCCACCTCCAAGGTGAAAGGCGCGTTTTTGCTTCCACTGTATGACCTTGATTTGTTCTAGGACCAATTTGAACCACCAAGTAATCAATCCTCTGAGCCCCCGGATTAATATGAAATTCCGTAATGATCTTTATGAGCGTATTAAAGCCATTTTAAGACAAAACCTCGGAGAACACCTTGTTTTGCGTCCGCTTTGTTTGAGAGGCGTTTTGCTTTCCAATACTTCAATCCTATAAGCTAGGGGCTGCGTGTATGAGGGTTGACTGGAAATACACCGTAAAAAGTATAGAGTTCTTCTTCTAAATACAAGTTTTAAGCCTGGATTGTAAGTCTTCTTAATACTGTTATCAGCAAACAATGATCAGACATCAGAATGGCAAAATGGAAAACGGCTTTCCACGTGGTTTTGTTAATCACAGTTTTTACTCTGTTTTACCGACCCAAAGTGCTTGGGCTGCAAACGCAGTCGTATTTTTTCTGGTTCTCGCTTTTTTACTCTTTACCGAAAAGTTATTACAGGGAGAAGTGACAACCGGAAATACGTCTTCTTGTACAGCCTAACAGTGGTTCGCTTCTTAACAATTAACAACCGAAATAGTTTTTTTTATATTAAACAAAACTTATTTATTTTCTCTCACGGTCTTGAAAATTTCCTAAAAGAACGAAAATTTCATTTTTCTAAAGAGTGGAGTCCGTCCCGGGGGGGTGGGAGGCACTAAACAAAGTTTTGTAGGGGGAGGTTGAGTTTCCAGGTCCAACCCCTTGCATTTTACCTATTTTTTACATATACCTTCTATTGACAAATAAAATCCCTTTTAATTGCTACAAATGCACTGTCTTTAAAATAAAAACAAGTCACTAAACCAGAACATTATCTCGACTTTTCACAGACATAAAATGCATGTGTTACCCCTTTAGGTCTTTTTACTTACCCCCAATGACCGATTTCCATATCCTTTCATATACATGAAGCCTGAAAAAGGTACCCCTTTCGGTCGGAGCCTCGTCGTATAGGCTGTTATAGGGTTATAACCCCCTTGAGTTCAGGACTCATCTTACAGACAGTTGGGTTAGAATAGTAGGGTCTTTCCTCCGTTGTCCCTGCTTATGTTGTTTTCAATCCACAATTCCAAAAATTTATCTCTCTATCTGATCCGGTGTGTTGACTTTGTGACAATAGCCCATTTTTGAGTTCGCTATGACCGCTGAATTAAAGAAGTGAAGACGCATTTTTACAGCCTTAGCTTGCATCTGAAATAATATATTCACAAATTCCAACGAGAAAAAGATCTGTTTATTACTCTGTCTGTTGTGTATATTCAAATTTCAAACACTTACTGGGCAGAATTTCTGAATATTTTACTTTACGTCGAGGCTAACCCTGTATGAATGTGTCGTTAATGTTTGTATTCAGCGGTGATTTTTTTAGTGGAAAATGGATTATTACGCGACACTACAATTCTAAGAAACCAGAGACATTCGTACCTGGGTCGTTTGAACGGAACCCTTTCAACGCAGCTTAGACGAACTTAAAGCCGTTAAACCGTAATTCATCTACGTGCTGTGGGGCGATGCTCTCAGTTATAGTATTTCTGTTGTGGATAAGGCCAGTAATTCTAAAGGAAGGTAAACTTATTTCCTCTTATGTTACGCCCGATTTTCACGCCGGCCAGACTTTTAACTAAGAGCGAACGTGATCAACGTACAAGCAAGGTTTCGCTGTCCTTTTCAATTTGAAACGGCTCAGCCCTTTTTCGTCTCCTTCTACCTGGCTCAGCCGAGAATTTTAACTTTAGCAAGGCTTTAATTTGAAATACTCTAGTGCTGAACCTACCGAATCAGTTAAATTAAGTAACTTAATAATCAGAATTTTTTACATTTAGTCCACTGTAAAAGGTTAGGCGTCAGAAACGGGCCAAATACATAACCACTGACCATTGATACAAGCGAATTCTCTTGTTGCTATTTAATACCAAGGCAAGCTCAATCCAATATATCGATACACGTTCAAACACCTCTTTTGCCAATGTGACTCTCAGGTATAACGCCAGTATGAAGGCTGCTCTTTGCCCCTCTCAGTCCAAAGAGCATAAATTCTTGTTAGGATTGTCCAGTACTCGTTTCTAAATGTATAAAAGCTCCATTGTTCAGCTGCCACGGGGACATCTAAAGCGACCGTCAAGTTTACCAAGAAAAGAAAACAAAGACGCGGCCAGAGTGTTTTTTCCGTAGCATTGCGTTACAATACTACTTTTAAAAGCGGCCGACCGACCAGTGAAGCATGAAAGGGCATTGACGTGAAGCAGGCTTTATATTTACCAAGAGAGCAGAAAACGTCCACGTCGCCGGAACGAGAGCTAAATGATACCATCCCATCTCATTCGAGGGATTTCCACCGACAGTATCAATTGTGCATGCCTTTGGGTGTCTGTTTGTTCTTTAGGGAGTTTTTGGCAGGTTACGGACTTTCACTATGACAAGACCTACCTGAAGCCCACAGACCAGAACAAGATCTGCAATTCCCAGACTCCGAACACCGTAAAGCCCAGTAGAGCGGGAAGATGGGGGAACTATTTGTGTGATTCACCATGGAGGCTTATTAACTCTACAGTGTTCGCCATGAGGGATATCGAGCCCAATCCTGACTTTATTATTTGGACTGGGTAAGATTTCATTCCGTTGTCCCCCCCAAAAACAGAAAGAAAAAAAATTGACAAAGAAAAGAAAAAGGAAGCCTTGTACTTTATTCCAGATTTGCGCAAGGTTACAGAACCATCAACATTTTCTTTAAAAGTGGCCTGCACTTGTGGAGTAAGGTACAGCAAGAGAGAATTAGCACAGTAGTTCACTGTAGTGTGTTTGTCAGCGATAGGCCTTTAAATCTTGGCTATGCCATCTTGCCATTTCGTTCCAAAAAGAATTGTTTCCATGGGGCACGTATGGGTAGGGTAACTCTGTCTTTGTGGAGTGTAGCAATACTCATGGGTGCTTCTTGTTAGCTAGAGAAATTAGGGAGACCCGCGGCTACTTGTACGAGAGAAGAGAAGTCTGAAGGAGTTACGGAAAAGATAACAGGGTACATAGCGAAGGTGGTTAGACAAGTCCCTTTTTTTAATCCAAGCATTTCAAGCTCTTATATAGCACAAGGACTTCGTACTTCGAGAGGTAAAGATGTGGTTAAGTTCTGCGGACCATGCCCAGTCCTTGTGTCAAGTTGTGTGGCGTTTTCCAAAGGCCTTCACAGTTATGCATTTCAGAAAGTTTTTCGGTCACTGTTCGCTAGGACTATGTACTCCGAAATGAAAAAGCAGCGGGNAGCACAAGGACTTCGTACTTCGAGAGGTAAAGATGTGGTTAAGTTCTGCGGACCATGCCCAGTCCTTGTGTCAAGTTGTGTGGCGTTTTCCAAAGGCCTTCACAGTTATGCATTTCAGAAAGTTTTTCGGTCACTGTTCGCTAGGACTATGTACTCCGAAATGAAAAAGCAGCGGGGAATAATGACGGTCTAGGTTGTAGGTACCTTCTGAACATTTATACCATTCTGTTACAGGGATGACATGCCTCATGTGGCAAACAGTGAACTAAGCACCGAAGAAGTGATAGAAACAGTCCAGAACTTAACAGACTTGTTGTTCACTGTTTTTCCAAAGACGAAGGTTTACCCCGCCTTGGGTAACCATGACTACCACCCTAAACACTTGATGCCACCAACACCGAATGACATTTACACGGCTGTGGGAAAACTGTGGAGTCGGTGGCTTCCTCTGGATGCAGTTAATACTTTTGAAAGAGGTGCATTTTGTTTTAAAAAAGTAGTTATTATTTCATCAGTTCATTATTATGTTTGATATTTCATATTCCCATAGCCCCCAACTCAAGCAACAAATGGACTGAGAAGAAAGTTATTTCATCTATGGACCGAGCTGTAAGCAGTTGCTGGCGCTACTCTCCCGAGTCATATTGATTATTTCTATTGTGATTTCAGGCGGATATTACACAGTTCTTATTAAATTTGGCCTACGCCTTGTCAGCCTGAATACTGTCTACTACTACACAAATAACAGACTTACTCAAAATTTGGAAGATCCCGCGGGTCAGTTTGTGTGGCTAGATGCCGTGCTGACAAATGCTTCAGTGGCCAAAGAAAAGGTACCGTTTATTAAACCACTACTGATATATCAATTTACAGGCCTTTACTGAGTAACGAAGCTGTATGGATTCTTTCTAGTGTTTCGGGTCCTGGAGCGGGCAGGGAAATGGGGAAATGGCCAGCAGAAGTCTTTTATATCACATTGGAAAGTATATTCGCTCGCCTTGTGCGAAAATCCTATTGGAAAATTTGGCAAGAGTATTTGGTCTGGGAACTAATATCAAACTTTCCATTGAGTTTTTCACCACAATATCAAACAGTTCAAAATTTATCATTACATAATCAACAGAGTAGCGTCGAGCCTTCCTAAGTTAGTTTTGATCAGTGAGCCTGCTGTTGCTTCCCAGGTTTTCATTATAGGTCATGTTCCACCTGGAGTCTTCGAGAGAGCACCCGGGAAAAAATGGTTTTACCCGCAGTTCAACAAGAAATACATCGATGTCATTCTAAAACACGCCGACGTTATCACCGGTCATTTCCTAGCTCATCAACACTGTGACAGCTTCAAAGTTTTCTACGAAAAAGGTATCAGTGAATCTTCTTTTGTAAGACGTAAACACTTCCAAAGGCGTTTTTGGATAACGGCAGTCAAGTAGTAGCCTAAAATTTCCATAGGATAGAAGCTTACAACAACATGAACAACTACGAAAGGGATTATTATTCTTAAAAGCTCGGCAACAAGTAGTCCAATACAATAGTGGACAAACCCTCGGCCTAACAGCTCTCCCTTATCCACCCTACGATACAATATTGGAATACAGGAAAAATTGTGGATACATGTGTTCAACGTAGTGTGTGGGGTGAGGGAAAAAGCTGCGCATGTACAGTTTAGAAACGCCGCAAATACAAATTTGTGCCAAGATTTTTGTCCATGATTTTATGAAACAAGGTTTAGTTTGACATGAAAGCTGCGGCGTTTCTGCACCAGTTCCTTTATCAGGATATTTATTATTCAACTGTTTTCTTCGAGAACAGAAAGACTGAAAAACAATCATTCAAAGAGAAAAATAAATTTGTCCGGTTAAAATCATAAAAGTGAATACATCTTTTACGTTTTTCCATCGCTTTCTCGAGATTGACCATGCTGCTGTGTAAATTGTGTCTGTTCCGAGATTGCGACAGATTTGAATCACGGAGATGGACGAAACTGCTTAAATTTCCCTGGCTCAAAACTGTTTCCTTTGTGTGCGAGATTTTAATCATGATCTTAGGTCTGGATCTGCTTTTTAGGCAAATATTAACTAGAACAAAACTGAGCCTAAATCAACACAGATCAGTTCCTTGGCAGCCATTATACTTGGAACTGGGCGCGTTCTATTGCCAGTGACCGTTTCTAAAATAACAGAGAGTATAGCATTAACTGTAAAAAACCTTGTTTGGGTGTTTGTTGCATCGTCATAATTTCTCCCTTCGTCTTCATATCGCTACACGCAATGAATGTTAGGTTTTTATTCAAAATGCAAATAAAATTTGAACCCCCTTTTAATTTTTGTTCATCAAACCATTGCCTTTCTCATTTAAAATTTCTCTACATGGTTTCACATCAGTTTAGTTCTTTAGAAGTAATTTTTCTCCAATTTGCTTTAAAGTAAGTTGTCGGTTAAATTCATGTCAATAGCTAAATTGAAAACCGTTAATTCACTCTAACAAACGATAGTTATAAACTCCATTGTAACGACAACGATCAAACGTTTGCTAAAGCAAATTGTTTATTTTTTTCAGGAATTAAATCCGGAGTTATTAAGGTATAGGTGTGTGTAGGAAACCGTTTTGGTCCCTTGGATGTTCCATCCATCAATACTAGGTAAAATATACATGTTGATGTATGAAGTCCTTTCACGTTAGTAAAACCGTGAATTCGAAAACCATGTCAGTAGATTACACTGACGTTTGACAGAATTCGTACGGAAGCGGCAAAGTAGACTGGTAATTGGAGTCCTGACAGTGCTATTGTTGTCTGCATTGTGTTAGTAACAGGTGGAAATCTGACCCTCCAATCAAATCGTCTTTTGAGTAAAACATCGAAGAAGAACCAAAGAGAATGTAGTTTGCAAGGCAATACATAATTTCTTAAAGATTTATCTCAAATATTTAAAATACTTTTTACCCATTCGTAATGAACCAAACATTTGTTGGTTTGTGAAGTGTGGAAAAGTGTTGAAAGCCAACTTTTGCCACAAAAGGAACTGATCATCACCAGCTTTCATTTCAATGTACGCCATCAGGTAGCCTGCTATTTTACATATCCGTCAGTGATAACGCTGAGACATTAACCTGGAATATCACCATTTTTTTACGAAGAAGAGCTTCGACTGAATAATCTGGGAATAAAGAGCTTAGCAAATATCCTGACACTACAAATTAAAACTGTATCACTAGTAATCTGAAGTGATTAAGATGATGTTGAAGGTTCATGAAAAATATTGGTTCGAAGAAAGTAAAATCGCTAAAAGTTTGGGTTCTTTAAGATCCTGACAAGTACGGAGCACAATCTTCATTACAAACAAGTATTCTGAATGGTAACTGTAGGTTATCACTCGTCCTTGATTTTCAAAATCATCATCTGAGGAATATTTGATTACTGCAAAAAAGACAAATCACTTTTAAAGAAAGCCTGTAAATCAATCACTAGAGCCTGACTTCTTGTTCAACACCCTTTATGCTTCAACATGATTTCCAGCTTGTACAACACGGTTAGAAAGCATTAGATATGCCGGAACAAAAGAACCTGAAACAAATCAGAAAATACTTGCATCTCAAATGCACTAATGGTGATTACATGGTCCTGTATTTTAATTTAAAATAGTCGAAAAGGATTATGTTTGCAACTCATGGGGAGGCAAAGTGTGCAGGTGTATGAGATAATGTGTGCAAATGGATCAGGTCAGTCAAAATTTTGATAAACGCAGGAGCTGCAGCCCACGAGTCTTTGCCAATCACCTAACTGCTCTTCACTATCAGACGTCTTACCCTACTAATGACACATTTACCTCTTCTCATCCGTTTCCTGGATGGGAAGCATTGAATTGTGGAACAAAAAGTGATCCGACTCAATGCTCTTTTTTAGGAGAGCACAAAGAAGCTGTTAATTACATTATTTTAGGGAAGTTATTCCACAACAGTCGCCCATTTCCCCAACAATATGGCGGCAAAAGACCTTTGACGTTTTCGGAAGTAAAGTGTGACGACGAGGAGAAAGATAAGCTTCAAATTAAGTTTAAAGTTCTGTATGTATTGTTCTGACTGATAAGACCTTCACTCAGCGCCTAATATAGTCAAACAGTTTTGCAAGATCACACCAAACATTTTCGCTGTCATTTCATCATGAACAATATCGACCCTGGCGACGCCAGCGTAGATGTTCTGGCTGTGTTACAAGAGCAGCTTGAAGCCAGAAGCAAAGTGACGGTTGCGATCGAAAGTACAGTCATAATAGCCATCGATATTGCCGCTCTTCTGGGAAATTCACTTCTTTGCTTAATCGTCTCTCGCAACTCCAGACTTCACAATTCCACAACCATGCTGATCGTCGCGCTTGCCATCACAGACCTATTAACAGCAACAACAGTAATGCCGTTAACAATCGACGCCGTCATTAACAGCAAGAGGCGCTTCAGTGACGCCATCTGCAAAGCGCACGCTTTTGCAATGACCGTACTTGCCCAAGTGTCCATCTATCTGATGGCCTTAACAGCCTTCAATAGGTATGTGTGCATCAAAAGGCGAAACCTTTACAGGCAGATTTTCACCAAAAAGCGCACTTTGCTCATCATCGTCACCGTAGGCGTTATCGCCCTGCTGATCAATGTTCTTCCCAACGCCCTGTCTTTGGATGACTTCTTCTTTTGCCCAGGGTACCTGCTATGTTGGAGGCGAATGATGAAACCCGCAGCTATCTATACTTTCAACGCCTGGCTCTATGGCTCCTTTATCATCTCGTACGTGGTGATCGTTGTCTGCTACTGGAAAGTGTTCCGAGCAGTGGAGGAGCACAATGCTGCCGTTGCACCAAATCTGAATCAAGGCAACCGTAACAGTCAGGAGGGGAGCCGCACTGAAGAGGTGTCCGTGGCCAGGGCAGTGGCAACCATCGTGCTTTCATTCACTTTGTGCTGGATCCCAGCAGAAGTGATGGACACCATGGATAAAATCAACCCTCTTCTTCTTCCTAGACAGGTGGGTACCTTTACATTTTTTGCCGATTTCAACGAAATTACTGCAGTTACGAATCAACTCAGTCGCGCGGGCGTTAAGGAGTTCAACAGGGAACCTCAACTAAATAAAATGAATAAATAAATGATATATAAGGCTAGTTGCTAATTTCATTTCTCATTCATTTTTCATTTCAGGTTTTCCTGGTTGCCACTTGTCTGTGGTATATGAGCAGTGCGATCAACCCAATCATATATGGTGTCATGAACAGTACCTTTAGAGCTGAGTACAAGAAGGTGTTTTCCATCATCACCAACTCTTCCTCTGTGAGAGTGTCGCCTCCTAACAGTGCACTGGGTCCAAATGGTCAAGAGATGAACAATTACGAAAATACCACTTAAAACAGAATACAATTAACATTAACGTTAACGACGCTTTCTGTTCTGAGGGTTGCAGTTAACATATACTAATTACAGACAACGAGAAAGCATTTAGTAATTGCCCGTGACTAAGATACAAATTTGATCGCAACTGTATAAAGGTTATTAAAAGTCAATAGGTCAAAAAGCTGTAAGGAAGTTTCCAGACCCGGCTTTTAACGTTTACTGTGATCTTTTAAACTCGACATGAAATAGTGTTTTGGCCCTTTTAGCTATCAGTTATCGAAATGGTAAGGGTATCCTGCTGATCTGAGTGTAACCTAAAATTAACCAAATGAATGGAAATTTCATTGTCCCAAATAGAAACTAACACTGTTTCCTCTCCTGGCGAGGTAGCTATGTTTATTTCTGGTTATTCCGCTGCTGTAACGAGCATTTTAAAAGAAATGTCAAATCTTGTGCAAACGTTTCACAATTCCTGATTTACCCTTTCTACATATTTTTTTGTAAATACTCACTATCCTTCGTCGTTCGCCTGATTTATCCCGCCATCCTTTTCGAACGCCATTGCTACGCAAGCTTATGTAAGTACTTTGCAACATGTACGCCATATTGTAAAACAAAACTCATGTTTATGGAAAACGACGTCCTATACAAGTTTAGGGCAGATAAAGACTTATTATATAAATACCATGTGATTTTTGTGTGTGACGAGTAGAAGGAAAACTTTTAAAGCGACACAAATTGACGATTGGCTTTTCGCATACACATGATTCAAAATGTATTTGTTAACTATTAGAGTACCGGTACTCCAATAATTATGTAACAGTCCACCGGCATTGTTATTCGTTTTGTTTTATTTAATTTTTTTATTGATTGAAAAATTATGATCAAACATAGCCGGCTCATTTTCATCTAAATTAACTGCATGGAGTATATAACTATATATTCTTAATGAAATGTGATGTTTCTTAAACTTGTGTCAGTAAAATAAAAACCAATGAAACAGTCACAAATGATGTTTTTTTTAATCGCTTGTCTGTTATCTTTGATCATTTTTTCCAAGTTTTCGGCGGGACAGAAAGTAGAAGCAAATTACTCGAGGGTGAGGGGAGTTAGAATTACAAATGGCAGGACAAAGGCGGAACAACTGCAGAGTGCATGAAAAAGGACTTTTGGCGGCAGGGCAAACAGCGAAAATAACAAAAGTCATTAAATTTAAAAACTGTTATGCCCAAAAAGGCATTCAAGAAACTAAAAATGAGGAACGCGGGCTCAGCTGTCAGTTTTCCCAAAAGACATTGAAAACGATGCTTATGCAAAGATTTTGTGTGCAAACAAGGTGTATTATGGTCCCTTTGATTTAAATCAGCTATGTTCATATTTAGCTGCTTTGTTTAGTTTTCAGGCTCTAACTAATCCATACTTACATGCCCATTATTATCAAATAACACATCTGGCACACTCAGGCGAGATTTTTACTGTGAGATGGAGACTGAGGCCAAGAATTGAAACTCCTTCAGCAAGTGGTCAGAACAACACGAGAACCGCCCCGCCACCCTCTTAAATAGTTTTGGGTCCACCCCAAAAATTTCAGCTAACGTTGTCGTTTATAAGGGCCTCGAACCAATGCGACAGGTCCCCAAGATCATAGCTTCAAGTCCTTAACTATCAGCGCCATAGAACGGAATGAAACGCCATTAACGTTTATCTCCGTGATTTTATAACAGAAGAGTTGCTTCACAGCTGAGTTTGGTAACTGTTTATCTTGTGTTAGGGTTAGGGTTATGCATGCATTTAAATTGATGTGATGTGTTTTTATACATAGTTTTCCTTGAATTGTTCTTCAGGCGTTCCACGTAGTTCTATATTCTTGTGTCCAGCGGTAACTCCTTGGAAGACAGTGCTCCCGACCGTAGGCTACAACAATCCTGGCATTCGTCTCTACAGATATGAAAGAAATACTTCACAAGTTCAGGTAAAACACAGGGGTCTTTCTTACTAGTATGACTTAAGTTTTATCCTTTTTTTCTCAGCGCTTCATTTGATGTTTCTGTAGAAATACAATATACAAATATGCAGAGCACGTGGGATTTTGCCAGTGTATACGAAAAACACTTTAATCCTTTCGTCCTGGGCAGGCTTATGACTGGAAAAAAAAGTAGAAAAAATTAAACCCTGAGTTAAAAATAACTCTTTGAGATGCGTTTATTTTCACGTGGACTTAAACAATTGAGGGTTCCGCCCAAGAGTTAAATGCTTCATTAAAATTACAAAGTGAGGAGCTGCGGGTTATAGAGGAAAACAGACTCATTAATTATTTCATGGTTTTTGTTGAACAGGATATTTGGCAATACTTCACAAACCTGACGCAAGCCAACCTGATGAACAAACCTGAATGGCTGATTGAATACAAAGCGACTGAGGCGTTCAACATTCCCGATGTGAGCCCGCAGTCTCTTCACTCTTTGGTACAAAAGTTTGAGTCCCAGGATAGCGCTTACTTTCAAAAATACTTTCTGTACAACTCTGTTAGTGCTGGGGCAGAAATCTGTGACGAAAAGTGCAAAACTGCACAAATTTGTGGCATCACCAAAGTTGATTTTAGAGAGTATGATGATTGCCTTAAATCTACTGATGCTCCTCACAGGCAGAGCAGTATTGTTATTGTATTTGGAGTGTTTCTCATCATGTCTTTGTTACTAGAATAAAGTAATTGGCTAATGATTGCTGTGATTTGTAAACGGAGGTGATTTGAAGATAAAACTATCGAAAAGTCTCACTTTTACCTTCACTACTCAACCGGACAAACATAAACGAGTGATATTATCCGGGGGCATTGGCCAGCTGAGCCATCGTGCCGTTTATTATCATTAAACATGTATACAAATCCCTACTGCAATTTAGGAAAAAGTAAATGCGCCAAAGCTAAACACGAATACCCCTAAAAACCAGCAGGTAAATAAAGGGATTTTGTACCCACAACCAAGGCAATGGCTCCACCCTTAGTGTTTTAGGATATCTTATTTCAAAGTACCCAACACCATAATCTCTTTATTATGCTAACACAAGTGAATAAGAGGCTACTACACAAAACGAACGAATGTACATATGTACATAGTAAATCGACTTGCTGTCAGTTACTCGCTCGAGAAGGTTTGAAAACAGGTTTAGGTGGGTTAGCTCCATAAACCAGGCTAGTCTGGCCAATTAAAGTTGACTAGTTAGACTTGTGTGGTTACCTGCATTTTTAGCCAGAAACAAAGCCTGAGCAACAGAGCCACATAAGCTGCTGTTAATTTTATTGATGCATAAACTATTCACTATTTATTTAGTAATTACATTTCACTATCTGTTTATATCTATCTAGACATTATTACATATTGCATAGCAACCGTTTTCAAAGTTAAATACAAAGATACTTTAAAGACATTAAAATAATATGAAATTGAAACTTTTACATTGGTTCTAACTTGTAACAAGTTCGTCCATGATCTTTGTCTAACAATTTAACTAGTTACATTTACAGCAAGGAGCCCAACTTACTGAAATTTCTGGTATCGGCTTTTATTGATACAATAAATATGCCAAAGAAATTTCAGAAAAATCGTTGGAACAGAAGTCCGCAACTAAAAGTCGCTCAAAATTCAGCGGTAAAATTGTTTTAGAATTTCAAAAATAAATTACTTTCAGGTAGAAGGAGCCACCAGTTCGAATTTTCGGGACAAGTAAATTCAATGTTTGCCAATTCTGATAACAAAAGCTGATTGCCTATCGTGCTATTCTTTGAAAGGTACTTTTTAGTTTTAGAAGCACTATAAATTGTTCCAAACCTTGCTCTGAAGTCAAATGACTTCGTCCTCAACATTTTTATAATATCCCTTGGCAGTTTTGGTTCAAACTCCTGCTACATACATTTTGATGTATTGCAATACATCCTCAACGGCTTTTCCTGCTGTACGTTGCTTCTAATTCAGTAAAAGGGTGTTGGGATTGTAAGCTACCTTGTATCGAAGCTCAGATAGAACTGTTCAGAAAGTTTGTTTATGACCAGAAAATGAGCACGAGCGGCAGCTCTGTGAGAAATTCGCACCTCAGCCAGGGGAGACGAATGGCAATGATGCCCATGTCTGTGAACCGATCTGTATAAACATGTATTGCAAAGCAAAACGTAATAATCAAGAAAAAACTACCCATTCATTGAAGGAAGGTGTGACAAAAATTTCAGAGTTGTAAATTTATTCACGGGCAGTATTTGTGCGATAATTTTATTTTGCACTGTGATGTAATTCGGCTCACAGGCATGGGCATCATTGTCGTTCGTCTCCCCTGGGTGAGGTGCGAATTCTTTGCAGAACTGCCACTCGTGCTCATTTGGTAGTCATAAACAAAGGTGCTGGACAGTTTTATCTGAGCTTTGATACGAGGTAGCGTTCAATCTCAATACCTTCTTCCTGAATTGGAAGAAACGAACAGCAGTAAAAGTCGTTGAAAATGCATTGCAATACAAAAAGTATGTAGCAGGAGTTTGAGCCAAAACTGCCAAGGGATATTTTTAAAATGTCAAGAAACAAGTCATGCTACTTCGGAGAAAGGTTTGGAGCAATTTATAGTGCTTCTAAAACTATAAAGTACCTTTTAAAGAATAGCACGATAGGCAATCGGCTTTTGTTTTAAGAATTAGCAAACATTGAATTTACTTGTCCCGAAAATTCAAACTGGTGTCTCCTTCTACCCGATAGCAATTTATTCTTGAATTTCCAAAACAATTTCACAGCTAAATTTTGAGCGACTTTTAGGTTACGGACTTCTGCTCCAACGATTTTTCTGAAATTCGTCTGGCATATTTATTATATCAATTAAAGCCGATACCAGAAATTTCAGTAAAAAATATCAGCAAATTTTTTTACTAGACGCGAAATTTTCTTTGAATAGTAGGCTCCTTTTAAGCGCTAATTTAGCAAAATATATTTACCATCAACGAAATCGGAATATTTTGTATTATTGCCGAATGATATTTGCGGTTCTTTGGAAAGTTTCTCGGCCATCGCGTTAAAAACAAAAAAGTTATGACGAAAACTTTGTCACAGCTAAATGGGCTTGTATTAATGACGGAGCCACCTTAAAGGAGGTCACACCTTTGGACTCCTTGCAGTGATGCCACTAACATTCACAACTTTAATTATAACTTTAGGGAGCACCGACCATTTACGTAACAACTTTTAAGACTTATATAGTCTTAGTCTTTGTTGCTTCTTATCGCTTTGTAAAAATTTGATGTAAATACGGAGTTGGAATTCTAGAAGTGTCAAAAAATAATTTTAAAAAAGCTATGTTATGCACATTAACTCTCTGGGAATTTCTGTCTCGGTTTGTTTTTTGTTTGAATAGTTGGTTAATTTAATCCCTTAAAGTTTGTTTGATTATTGGTTGATTATTCAAACAGGTTGCACCTAATTCTCTGATTGCAACGCCACTTCTACCATAAACTTTTTGAAGAATTTCCTTGCTACAATAAAAAATACCAGCTACATTAAAAAAGCAGAGAGAATACAAAACAAGTTTTTAAAAAAGGGATTTAAGTAAAAAGTATTTTTCAAAGTTATTTTTTTTGGTTATATTTGCCTGTAAAAATGGTGTTTCATCTTAAGCCAAGTCGACTATTGTTATGTTCAGAGACGAAAAGAAATAAAAGTACATTACAGCAAAGGATATTTACAGTTTACATGTAAAACTTTGCATCTCAGTATAATACAAGGCCACGGTGATAATAGATATAGTGTAGGATATAGGTTTTAGGGCTTTCTCTTCCAGAGAAAAATTAAGTTCAAAGTGGAGAATGGTTCTTAATATTGTAAATACCTAATTAAGGTCATGTGATTAATGATATTATAACGGCATCACTCTGGTCTCGTTTGTTTAAAGTCGTTGGTCAGTGCTATCAACCGAGCAAATTACTTTCTAGTGTGGGGAAACCGATTGTGTTATGGAGATTGACCAAACTGATTGATCATTAAACACACTATTCTCAAATGGGGGCCGAATGATATTTATTAAAATCTGACTAGGCTCTTCAACATGAACTAAAAATGAGGTAGACCTTTTTTCTGTTAAAACTTTAGCTGATCCACCTAGGATTTACAAACAACTGGTCGTGGAGGGGAAAGCCCTATTTCGGTGTAAACTAGGCTCGATTACCAGCTGCTGTACGGGAAAATGAGCCTGCACTCATCTGTTCCGCCCCAAGCCCCCTCGAAAGAGCTCTTCGTGAGAGCAGCGGAAATCGAGCCTAGTGTAAACTTGTTGTGATTTGAGTCTTTTTATCCGAACAGCAGCCTGTGTTTAGCGGATAGAATGAATCTAACGACGTAATGTGATATCATTTGCGAGTCACAGGAGAAAAGTACTAGGATACTAAATCCGAAGCTGAGCCCGATTTGATATTCACCTTATGATATTAAAATGAACGATTTGAAAGATATTACGTGTATTGTTAAAAACTGATTAACGTTAATTTTGTTCAAGAATTGCCATCAAGTTCTCATTCTGACTCACGGTTCTTGTTATTCGTGGCTCGCTTAGTCCATCAGGGATGACTTCTATAGCCTTCGATGAAGATAGCCAGCTCAAAAGACTTTTGACAGAACTTGAAAAGTCTACTTCTTTCTTGAGCATTTCAAAAATATGACGTCGTAGCTGGTGGAGACATCCGTCAACATGTTCGTAAAGACAACATCTAAAAGATGCAGCTGTGATTAAGCAGGTCCTCGGCCAGTGACTTTCTCCATATTACAGACATGCGCATCGAGCATCATTTCAAGTTGTTCTCTCTCGGCTGTGAGGTAAGCGATTTCAGATTCCAGCTGACTGTTGGCCGCCTCCAACTCTTCCGAGGCCTGAAAAAGACGGAACACAACTGAAAATATTATAGGGGTTATTTACGCCGGAAGAATTCTTGTAGTATTATAAATGAAAGAAAGCCGGGGCGAATGACCAGGGGCAGCTAGAGACGCCTGAAAGCCAACACAACGAAACAGAATACCCAGGCAGCGTTTTCAGTAAAAACAACACAACGCGCATTTGTTAGACGAAACACTTAAAGGAACGGCGAACTAAATAAAATACAAGCGTTAACCTGCATGGTCCAGTTACGATAGCGACTAATTTCCATACCTACACTGAAACAGTTCCACTTTTCCTGTAACCTAGCAGGATACGAAACCGACCACTAACTTACGACGACTGTAACAAACGTCAGACAGTCAAGGACAAAGATCGGTGAATAAACAGAAGAGCAGTAAACAAGATCTAAACACCTACCATTGACAGGCCACTTAAATTGGTAACATGGGCCTCTAGCGCTCACTCTCAGTACCACCAAGTCAGAGGAAGTCAGTACCAAAAATCGTTCTGGCTTACTGGTGGATTGAACGATTGTTGTCAAACTGTCACAATTTTGTTTTCTGCTACCGAGAGACTCGTTGCAAGCAACAAATTACCAGCAGCCAGAAGAGCCTCGTTTGCTAAATATATATTACTGAAGTATTTACGAACAACTGAACAGTCTCTCTCAAGATAATATATCGGGCACCAACCTTTCTCAGCGTGTTTACATGTTCCTTTCGCTTCATCCGACATTTCGAGGCAGCCACCTTGTTCCGTTCTCGTCGAAGCTTCCGTCTCTGTTCTTCTTCGGGGGTGAGCTGCATCAATGGAAAGAAAAAGTCGCCAACGAACATATGAAGATAAGAAAGGAAGAAGAACTCAGAAGAACTACAACTAAATATAGGATGTTATAAAATAACATAATTCCCCCAGCTTCTTGAAAAAGCTGACGAAGAATCAGCTAAGCACCTCTTACATAAACATAAGTCATAGATAGATCATGACAGGTTGTTTTCCGGGGGAGAAGTTTACTTAAATAACGTACATACACTTTCTACTTAAATCCTTACATCTATATAAATTAAGATCTCTTGATATGTACGATGTGCTTTCGTCTGCCAACATTTAAACGAACCAAAAAAAGTGGTTTTTAGTTAGGAAGATAATTCAACCTGTTTTGGAACTAATTGCATAATGTTATCTTATCCTTCCAATGATTCAGAGCCCCCCCCCCCCCCCCCCCCCCCCCCCCCAAAACGGAGACCACCCGCAAAAATAACTATCTCTACCGCGCATCGTTTGAACAATGACTCACCGCCGGAACAAGACGGCGAGTTGTCAATCGTTTTTCTACATCCCACACCATGCGTTATCACCCACCTTCCCTCTAGAACACCAAAAGCCGTCTGGCTATCGATAACATGTATGTAAATAAAAACATCGTTATTTGGATGATTTGCTTTTCTTGCACGAAAAGTATAAAAAACAAAAAAAGTGGTTTGTATGTTGAGAGAAAAAATGCTGCTTGTTTTGTCCAATAGTAGTATGTATCTTTTACCCTCCACAGATTGAATGACCCCCCCCCCCCCCCCCCCCTCTTCCCACCCGCAAGGAAAATTGGCGCGAAAATTGTAATTAGTGTTACGGTGTCAGAGTGTTTAACAGGTTCATACCGGCCGACAATGAATGGTCTTTTGTAGCATCTATTTACAACCTCCCACGCGTGTATTAGACCACTTTTAGACTTGGAATCGGCAACCGTTGTATGTGACCACTTGGCGTTAAGTGTCCAAGCGGGAAGAATGGTTCGGTTAAGCAGTTAGATTTAAGTGGAGCGATTAAACTTGATTTTTCTAAGGTTACATGATGCCAATAGCATTAAATGATTGTTTATGAGTAATGAATTCCCACTGCCTAGCGTAGCATTCATCTGTCGAAGAAACTGCGGACGCCGTACACAAGTTTGCGGGTGATGCTTTTCAACTAGTTTTTCCCGTTTCAAGAGAAACTTAACAGTTTTATCCTTAATATTCATGTTTTTACCGTATCATTGGTCGAATTTATACTAGAGACGAATTATCTTTCTAGACGGATTATCCGTCTCAGACGGATAATTCGTCTCTAGTATAAATTCGGTGCTAAGACGAATTATGGAGTCAAACTCGTCTGACGCTGATTCGTCTGTTAGCACGTCTTCAAGACGTGCTTATAGACGGATATATCGTCTTACACAGATTATCCGTCTCTAAATTTATATCAAGAGGAATGGTTTTTTGACGAAGTTTCCACATGAGAGGGACTGGTTTCTACATTTTCGCAATGTTTCCTGTTTCCCGCGGTCGTTTCCCGCTTAAAATATCTGGACAAATTATGTAGCAAAATTCGTCTTCGGATTTATACTTAGACGAATTACCAGACGGATAACTCGTCTCTAGTATAAATTTGTTTGTGCACCATTGCCGGTTACTAGTACGAGTAATTAAAATAAGTTTTGTTCTGAATAGGAGGACATTTTCTGAATCATATCATCCAGATACTTATTAAAATAACTTTTTAGCAGAGCTCCAAGAGCGCAAGTAAATCTACTCATCCTAGAAAATTTGGTAATCACGTGACCGTACACCGAGCGACCGAACTCAATCAACAGGTATGGCAACGCAAATGCAACTCGGGGTTATTTTGGCGGGAAATCACCTAGCTACCGGCGTCTTGTAAAGCAGGGACAACTAAACAGTCAATAAAGACGAAAACGGAAAGCGGAGATTGTTTCTGTATCTGTGGTGTCTAAAGTATTAAGCTTAATAGATTAATTGTCATGACCACAAATTTAGAATATAGAGCAAGAGAAAGACAGAGGAAAAGAGAAAGTAGGCGGCAGGCCAGCCAAGCTCAACGAGGAAAAAAAAAACAAAGGAGACATTTCTTTTTGTTGGAAGAACAACATGAAAACTTTGTAGCGGCGGTGACAAAATGAGAAATGCTAGTGGCGAACAATGCAAGGTGAAAATGAGCAGCAGTGAAAAAAAAAGGTGAACGAGAACACGTAAGACATTTCCTCCAAAAAGCGTGTAACAAAGAAGTTTCTGGAAGTTTCACATTGAAGTCGTGCAAAACAGCGGCAAAGAAATTTACAAGAAAAGTGGGCTGCACTTTTGCACGAGCAAAGTTGCTTTTTTGCTAATTAGACCTATTGTTGTTTTTCACTGTTCTCCGGCGTTGCCTTCGCCGTTTAGCACTACACGATTCTATATTTGGTTTGGACAAACTTTAAATATTATCGAGAGCTTCGCTTTTAGCTCTGGCTAAATCTATATATTATCCCCGGCACGGAGTCATACACCCGCTCTTGGCTTGTAGTACTTTTTCAGCTGCGAAAAATAAGACTTCTCGGGTAATTGTAGTCTGGACAAACCTTCTTTTGTTCTATTCTATTATTATAAAAATGCTTATTCGCCCGAAAACTTTCTATTCTTCCTGTAGGGTTTACATTTTCCTGTTTGTACGGACTGCTCAGAGATGTAACAAAGGCCGTACATGGCAAGCTACCAACCGGTTATGGCAAAATCATACGATGTGGGTTATCATGTTCCGTGGAATGCAAGGTAAAGTTTTGAAATGGTAAGCAAGTTAAAAGAAACAACATTCACCATTGGTAATTACAAATTCCTTGGCTTGCGGCATTGTATCTCCTTATTTCACAAATCGCAGTTGCTAGCCCGTGTCTTGCGGCAAGAGATACCCATGTTTTACATAGTTTTCGATCGCCTTTCCTGACGATCACGTTTGCTAAGGAAAAACATTTCAATGTTAAGCGGCGGTCACCATATCGGGAAAGAGTTTTTTATTAAAATGTGCAAAACAATAAACCGATTTAGACTATTAGCTGAAACTTAAAGCAAAAAATGACATTTTAATGTTTTTAAAAAATGCCCAAAAATAAAGGAGCACACAAATACTTGTTGGTTCTTGAGATCTTTTGTGCGGTAATCAACTTTCGGACATTCCACGCCATGAGCCGCCATCTTTGATTCTATGACGTAACGCAATTCAAGCTTTACTGGAAGATCCGCAATCTCGAAATTCGGGTCCATCATCATGTTAGCGTCCTGGACTGGATTCCCTACACTTCGAATGACAGTTGCAGGCTCCAGGTACATTCCACTGCCAGCCTGAAAAAAAAAACAAGCAGGTTCTTTTACGGCTCACAGTCGATAAAAATACACTCAGTCAAATGCAGTCGGTTGATAATGATAGCGTTTCATGATAATGTATATCTTCTCTCACTACGCCTCTCTTTCAATGTTGTAGATCTTGACCTAAGCGGCGAACTCTACGAATTTACATTTAGAATTAAGATTTTGTTCAAACATGCGGTGTGTAAAAGGCGTTTACCTCGCTCTGCTCTCTTTATCTTCTTCCTCTTTGTTACTAACTTACTGGGCCACATTATCTGGGTACAAACTTTTATGGAGCGCTTATCTTAAATATTTTAAATATGTAATTATCCAATACTGAAATGAATTTAACCTTTGTGTCTAAACGAAGGACCGATTTCAGTTTTGTATGTTTTCCAATGTTTTTTATCTTGCTCTTTGTTCACACTCACTTTCACACTCAGATGAAGTGTTTGTATTTTGTATTTCATTAAATTGTTCAATAAATTAACTAATCGCTCCCTGGTGAGCGCAAATTAGGGTCCTTAGCGAACCTGCAGCGTGTCTGAAATGCCGGAATCCTTCTTTTGCTATGTAGTTTTTTTTACCTCGGTCTCTCCGTACTAACATTTAAATAAAGGCCAAAAAAAAGAAAGAATGGAATTGTAACTAGAAATTTAGCACCATCCTTGATTCATCTATTTTGAGTCATGTTTAGTCATCCTGCGACATCGTTGATGCCAAAGCTAGGTTTTAATCTTCTTACTCACCATTTAGTTTTTCCATCAGAATGTCAGTGGTGATACAAATAGATGAAATCCCTTGCATATCGATATGATTACAAATAAGATACAAATTTTTTTCTAGGTACTGGAAGGTCCCCGGGAACAGGTTCTTGTTAAGAGGTTGTCATTAAGAGTTGTTTAGATGCAGGTGGTTAATTATTTTAAAGTGTCCGACTTTGTTTTTTCATATAACTAAGGAAAAATATCAGTTACTTCTTTTAAAGTTCGTATTTGCTTTGATTAATAAATGCAGTCTATGATTTCTAAGGAAAGTTTTTTCATTTTTCTGCTTGAAAAGGTTTATGTGACTTATATTGGACAGGTGACTGTTTGCCATGTCAAAACGCCCTGACATCGAACGACAAGTGCCAATTATCCGTTTGGTCCGCAAAGTAAATACTGCCGTTAACACACAACAGTAGATGCCCTGCCTTGATTATCTACCAAATGAAACCAGATGATATTCCATCAAATAAACGTCATTTAAGTTAATCGATTTAAATTCGAGTTAAGTCGACGAACTCGCCATTATAACTAGTTCTTCAGATGGGTCTATATAAATTTTGCAGACGTTTAGGGAATATGTGTCTTACCTGCGAGGATACAGGAAATTCCATGTCTAAAGACAGTACCACCGTTAGCCCATAAAATTACCAACTAAAGCTCTTCTGCCACGGTCCTGTTCGAAACTCCGTTCAATCTAAAGCAAATACTGACGCCACTGATCTTTGAAGAGCTGGCCTAACACTTATTTGGGGACTGATGACATTATTAATATTAAATATATCACCTTGTTCATTTACGGCTAATTGACGCCATCCTTATCTGTACAGTCTTAAAAAGACCAATCATAGACTACAAGGCATAGAGCCGTGTTTCAAAACAAATACTAGCTATGAAAAAATAAAAAGTTTTATGTAAGCAGAGGGAAAAAAATGGTCTAAATTCTATGACAGACAAACGAGAAAAAACATTGTGAACCAATACAACATATGATACACCTAGGAGCTAAATTCGCCTTGTTCCAGCTGAGCAAAAAGGAAAAAAGAACCATATTTCACGCTTTCAAACTAATGTAGTGAAATGGTAAACAATCTGGTTTTAAGCCTGTAGGTCTATTTGAGGAAAAGCGTTCTTTCTATTAAACTGCTATTTTATGCAAGGAAGGTCCAATATTTTCTTTGAGAAACCAAGGTTAGTCTGGGCAGGTGTTTGTCACTTGTTAGCGCCTGTCTTGGTAACGCATGCAGTGCGAAAAACGCTGAAATTGCAAAATGCACATTTTAATTCCTGAACAGTTTACTTAAGTTGCAAGTTGCAATTTTGCTTTCTTCAAGACCAAGACAGTAAGAAATTTTACCCGCCTTACTATTCGCAGCAAAAAAATAAGGAAGGTTGTAGTTCATCTTACTTCCGACACCTGCAGACAGCAAGTGCCTCATTGTTGTGGACACGAGAGGTTGACGCGCTTGCGCAGTTACTGCGCAATTCACAGAGAAGAGGGATACTCGAAAATACGTTATCAACTATCATGCGCGGCCTGGCGATTTCAACAACAATAACAACAACAAATCAAACCTGAATTGACTTATCAATTAACTTATAACGGTGTAAGATAATTTCTTCTTCCTTTAAATTAACATGGGTAAAGTTTTAAAAATGAAAGGCTTTCTGTGAAGTAATGTTCTGATAAATCAAATTCTAGGATCACCATGGATAAACGAAAGAAAGATATTAACCGGAGGCGTATAAAAGACTAAAAGATCGTCTTTTGAATTTCTCAGTGACCAGTGTGTTTGCTCTTCTTCCTCAGAAACGCAATTAGACAGCTGATTAGAGAGAGCAAATTCTAATTAGCATTATCTGCTGAGGTAACACTATAACTCGAAACTAAAAGTATGAATCTTAATTCGTAGCCTTAGATGTATAAGTACGGGGATGTGGAATCATAGGATTATGGAACTCAGTTGTGAATGTGTTGTTGATACTCATCTCCTTAAAAACAGTGATGCTGACTTACAAAGCCAGCCAGTTTCCACATTAAGAATCAAGGACTGAATTTTGATTTTGCCGTTGCAGGACATTGATTCCCAAAGCAAATAATGCGACCAGCAACTTCGTATTTTCATTCATTTCTAAATAAATAAATATTTACTTTTTCTTGGTTATTGTTATTATTATGATTTTATAGGTAGGCTTGGTTAATTATGTCTACATGGTAAATTTTTCACACGGAGATTTATTTCGTTTCGTTCAAGTCAGTGGATGTCTCTTAGACGGAGTAAAAATACTCGTTGAAGAAATTTCGCAGTTAATTCATAACGATGTGAACTTCAGCACTTGGAGACCCTTATTATCTGAATCAGTTCGGTAATTGCAGATCTACGGCTGCCGCGCAGTGAAATCGCTTTCTTTTTAATTTCAATAAAAATTAAATTTCAACTATTCATCTTGAAATTGCACGTCATTTTTATCAAAAAATCTATTTTGCAGAATTGAATCTTCTTTCGAAAATACCAATTAAATCATTAAAAACCAGATGGTCCATTCTCACAACGTCTCATATTTAACCTCTCAGCGCAAATCCATATTAGGGCGATGTCAAGGCTTTTTCTGTAACTCTTAAGAGCTATATTACGGCATCCACAGCTATTGTTGTGATTGATGCTTATAAGTATTTTTGGAATCCTTTTCAGACCGAAAGCTGACAGCCAATCAGAAGCTGCCACACTCGTCGGTATCAGTTTCGTGAGGGTCCTTTGCCAGAGCCAATTAGACAGATGTGCGTAAAAAGGAGGTCGTTCCATTCGCACTTTTCTTTACAGGTTTCGGTAATAGCTAATTGGTGTTTTTTAATATCTGTTTCCATTCAAGGTAAATCCAATTAAATGTAACAATATGTTTAGTTTTCAATTGTTTGTGGACGGCTTATATTAACAGTACTACACCGGAACGTATCACAGTCGCAGATGATACATCGTGTAAAGAAACGATTTATTTCGACTCAACAAAATACTGTGTTTTAAAGACATGGCAAATCCTGGGCAAAGTAACGCAACCGGTCTGAACGGCAGTAAAACAGTTTCTCCTGCAGACTGTTCTGATCGTTTTCATGACGGTATTGACAACGGCGAGTTTACCATTCTGACTGAAGTAAGTTATGTCCTCGCAGTAATTGTCAACAGCATCACTTGTCCCTTCACTATATTGCTTAATGCATTGACGATAACAGCAGTGATAAAAAGGATAAGTCTCCAGAGCAATCCTAACATTTTGTTAGCCTGTTTAGCGGCAACTGATCTGCTTTGTGGACTCGTTGGACAACCAACTTTTATTTTGTGGAAAACGTTCCAGCTCAATGGTATCCATAACAACTGTATGGTTAGGAAAATTCACAACTGGGTTTTCGCTCTGTTGTCTTTGCAGTCAGTTCTACATGTTTCTCTGGTGACTGGTGAAAGATTGATTGCTATTAAATTTTCTTTGCGTTATGTTGAAATAGTAAACTCCAAAAATATTTTGGCGGCGGTGATGATCAGCTGGGTGTTCGGTTTTTTTGTCCAAGCTGGCGTCATCATGTCTTTTGACTCAGCAGTGAGTCGGTACTTTGGTTTTTTAGTAGCGTTTGTTTTGACAACTTGTATTCTATTTATAATCAGCTCTTACGCTGTTATTTTCCCTGAAATTATTCGCCATCGTAAGATGATCAGAGAACAGCAACAATCTGGATATGAAGTAGAACTGAGACGCAACGGAGAGGATCAGAAGGCGCTCCGAACCACTCTGTTTGTTGCTGGTACCCTTCTCCTTAGCTTTACCCCGATGGCGTTAACTCTTCTTCTTAAGCCAAAGACGGGCTACGATGGCATACACGACGTGCTTTTACCATGGGCTCGTACCGCTGCCATGCTTAACTCTTTGCTGAACCCGCTGATTTATTGTTGGCGCCAAGACCCACTAAGAGCTTTCTTTTTTAGTATACTTCCTTGCACCAATGTGCCAAACGCCTAATGTCATTTCCTAACAAGCTATCTTGACACTAAGTGAATCTCCCATATTTTGACTTGGTTTTCCGTGTTAAACACTGTTATCATCACAGCTGAATGTAGGGGATTTTTGTTCGAATCCTTTCTTGCAAATAAAGGTTTCAAAATATTATGTTACATCTTGTTGTTGTTTCTTCCTTCAGGCCTATAAAGTCAGGTGCAGTTAAGCAAAATATGTTTTAGGGGACTTTGTTCAGTTAATGCTCTTAGAAAAGTGTATTCTTTTTAGACATCGAACACGTACCGATTTTCTCTGTGTGTCTTGACGGCTAAGTGTAGTGACATAAGTAAAACATTTTCAAAAGTCGAGCCTTATAAATTGTACAGTAACACTGACATGCAGTGGTTACGCCTACTTTTTTAGCGGCTCTCTACTTCTCGTTCGCCTCTCCAGGCTAAACGATTTAGCACTCTCCAGAATCGTGCGTTTGTTAAGGAATAATAGCCTGCGGCATGACAAGTTTATGTTGATATTACACTTTTTTCTTTTCTTTTCTTTCCCCCTCTCTCTGTTTCTTTTATTATATTTCTTTACCACCTCCGAAAAACAAGAGAAAGACGACAATTGATTCTCTAAGTTGGAAGGAAAACATTATTAATGGTTTTTATTTAATCGACTGTCTTAATAAAACAGTCAACCTGAAAATAACCATTCCCTCTTTGACTATCTTTTCTCGTCCTCTTTTGTTACCAAGGTTTCATATTTAATTTTTAACCTGAACTGCTAACTATTAAATCATTACGTTACAAACTTTTCGTAAGAAGAAAACGTGAAGAAATGTTACAATACGTGTCACTAATTTTAATCTTCAAAGAGTCTAAATACTCATTTTAAGGGTTAAATTGTCCAACCAAAACCAAGTGTTGAGCATCTTTTCCCGAATTGAAACAGGGAACAATGTTCCATAGGGAAGCACCACTGCATATTCACTGAGGCCGCAGCGAACTGCTCAAAGAAACAGTAAAACCATATAATGAATGCAAACGTTCAGTATCTCTCTTGACGAAACCAAACGTCAAAATTAAGCGTGTCAACATATGTAAGACACCGCTGACCACCGGACTGGTGCGGGGACAATCAGCTGATTCTTTGCTATGAAAACACTGGTTTGTTGTTGTTCCTTTGCTCCCCGTAACTAAGTTGTGTTTAATCCATATTCCTCGTCTTCCTGTTGACTATGGGAGTATTTTGAACAGCTGTGTGAGTCAAGCATGAATTCCAGTTGTTTGATTTCTGCCTGTAGCTTGCTGATCTGTCCCTGAAGGTCGTTGTTTTGATTTTCAAGCTCCTCAGAAGCCTAAAATCAAAATGATAATTTCATTATTAACAAAAGACAATGATAAGAGGTTGAATAAAAAGGCCGAAAAAAGTCGAATTAAAACGAAGAAGGTAGGATTACACAAAAGACAACCTTTGTCGTTTAAATGAAGTCATATAAGTCAAGGCAGAAAGAAAGGAATGTGAGCAGGTGGGCTAAGCGTGTGAATGCGAAGTAAATGGGAGTCATAGCTAGATAAATAAATGCCGAGTAGGGGGGTAGGTAGTGATAGTGACATGAATCATAACCCATGTATTGGCTCCTGGACTGGCGAGTGCTTTAGGGCTAAAGCTTTATAGTACGTGAAACACGCGTGAAAGGATTGATCCGAATGAGCTTCTTTTTCAACCTAGTTTCAATTTATTTAAGGAGGCAGACTATAAGTATAAATAATTGTTTATTGGCTATTGATATATACTTCAACCAGTGTTTTGACATGTTCTTTCCTCTTCTTGCGGCATTTAGACGCGGCAACTTTGTTTCTTTCCCTTCGTATCCGTCGCCGTTCTTGTTCTTCTGTCACCTGCCATGAAAAACTTCTTGAGAGGATGTAGAATATATTGCTATTCGAAAATATGGACTGACAACTTCATTTTTCGTTTCCTGAGTCCATGTCAGTCACTGCATGCCTAGCAACCATCAGAATGGATGCAGAAAATAAACCAAAACGGCAAAGACTCTTGAAGTTGTCAGTCCACTGGTAGTGTCGACATCTGAAACTTACAGGTAGATATTCTTCATTTATCATTATTCCTTCAAGGAATAATGATAAATGAAAAATATCGACCCGTAAGTTTCACATGTCGACACTACCAGTCCAACACAATTAAGAATAGCTTTTCTGTTAGATGATAACCATTGTAAGCATTCAGTAGTGATGTATATATAAATAAAAGGTTGTCTTCAAAATCGATCAAAAGAAGAGAATCGGGGACTCGTGCCTTAATTTTGAACAAATCCGAAGTATTATCCCTTTTACGGTGGTCATGCAAGTCATATATATATATATATATATATATGTTTTTTTTTTTTTTTTTAAGGTGACGAGATTTGGATAATTGATGTCTCCTTTTTTTATTACCCCCTTGATAAATCGTTTAGCACGCTATGACACTGGCTGGTTAAAGAGAAAGAAAAAGTCAATTTTTTTTTAAAAAAAAAATATATATCAGAAAAAACTTTTGTGTTGTGTGTTTTTTGGTGCCTGTAGATATTTCTTAAAAAAGTCTTTTTAAAAAAAAACATTATAAAAATTCAGTATAAATATATATATAAATAAAAGGTTTTATTAAAAATTGAATAAAAAAAAAAAATTGGGGACTTGTGCCTAAATTTTTAAAAAATCAGAAATATTATCCCTTTTACGGTAGTAATGAAAATTATATATATATATATATATATATATGTTTTTTTTTTTTTTTTAAGGTGACGAGATTTGGATAATTGATGTCTCCTATTTATATTACCCACTTGATAAATCGTTTAGCACGCTATGACACTGGCTGGTTAAAGAGCACGAAAAAGTCAATTTTTCTTCATAAAAGAAATATATAGCAGCAAAAACTTTTGTGTCGAGTGATTTTTGGTGCCGTGAGATATTTCTCAACGAAGCCTTTTGATAAACAGAATATAGGGTTGCTTTACACTTTTAGAGAAAAGCAATTTCCTCAATGCTTTGCAACCAACATTATATCCTTCTTTCGCTAACTTCATGATAAGCAAAAAGTCGACAAATCTGAGTATTGAATCTTTGAGACAGCAATTACCAACTGGGCAAAGAGCACAAGGAAAGGACATACCATACAAGACTTAACTGGCTGATCCATTTATATTAACGCTGTGAATGAGGTAAATCGCTGTCGTGAATACTGCAAAGAGTCTTAAAGAATTATCTTTAGATTTCCTGCGGCAGCTCAACTATAGTCTATCAAATTCATAGCTAAGCATAGGTAATTAATCCTACTCTTTAGGGTGGAGAGCAAAATTGAATTGTTTGACAGCTCATTCATTGAATAGAAGACTTTTTCTAACGAACGGATTCTTTTTAGCAAGCCAGAATGCGAAGAAACACATATAAGCGGGCTAAGTCAGAGAATTAAACCGGGAAGTGATTTCAAAGATAGACGTAGACTGAATACTAAACTTTTAGAAAATTTGTTCTGTGATGGCCATTTCAATTTAATTACGTTGTTGATTAACATTGTTTACAGTTTGAACCGTGGATCACAACTTAGATTTCAAACAGCTCAGATTATCTAATGAACTCAGTTGTTTAAGGTGAAGAGCAACTGGAACCTTCCTGGATTACTCAAAAGATCAAATAGACTTTAGCAAAGGAGGATTAAGAAGCCGTAATTAGAACAATAATTTCGAAAGGATCAGTTTTTTTAATGAATATTTTCCAAGGAGTATTTTGCATAATAATTCATGTTAGAAACGGTGTCCGTAACAATGTCCCTTCAAATAACACCCAGCTCTAATTTTTGACATATATGGTTCTACTCTTTTTTCAAATGCTGAATCACCATTCTTAATCCCGTAGAGGCAAGTCAAATCTTTAAGTGTGACCTTAATATGCAGGCTGAAAGTGGTTCTAAGTTTCGACTTCGCAAATTGATTCGTTGTGATCATATAAAGTACATTAAAGTATATAACACTGCGAGAGCACTACTTTTTTCTACTTGTTTGTTGACTGTACAATGATGTTCTACTAAAAATCCTGGGGCTTTTTTTCCTTTGACTGGAGACTGTGCTCCCTATTACGGGAAATATGTTAAGACCTCTGAAGTCTATCAGATCCTCAAGTGACAATTATAGTGCTTTTCCTATAGAACCCAAAATATGCTAACTAAAGCAAACGTACATTTTCGGGGAATATTTTCTCTCCGCCAACATTCACTGCTTAGAAAGTGAACTGGGAAGATAACAGAGGCCCACAATGAACAGATTTTCAGATAACTGGTGAGCCTGAGGGCAATGAACAGATTTTCGGATAACTGGTGAACCTGAGGGCAAAAACGCTTAGTTGTCTCCAGAAAACATAAAATTTGTTTTAAAAAAAAACAACAAAGAAAAAACATTTGCAAGACTTGAATATTTTAATAACATTAACTGAAAAACAGGCCACAAAGGGAAGGCAATTCGGGTGGTAAAAGCTTTGCCTTAGCTGATTCAAATGGTCGCGTTCCTTTCCCTTATAAGTACATTGCAAAAAGATAGCTTAATGTTATTATTATTATTATATTATTATTCTTTTTTTTCAAGATATAGCTTTGTTATAAAGCTATGATCATGGACTTGCTTTTATTCTTAAAATTGAAATAATGTTTCTTAATTCTTACTAATATTTAGCTTTTTCCCCGTTACAAAAATCTTAAAAAGGAAAAAAGATAATTTGGTACATATCAGATTAAAATGGTTAGAAAATCTAAACATTGCGAGTAAAATAACTATCTTGCATTGCCATTTGAAATATGAGCAAACATTAAACAAGAAGCTGATACCAAAACATTATTTATTACAGAAGCAGTTTACTAGCAATTCTAAATTTTAAAATAGACAATTTTGAAGAAGTCTGTGAATTTCAGTGTGGTCTTGGAAACGAAGTCCTATAAAGTGATCATTCAAATTAAACACCTGCGAAAGGACTTTCTCATGGTACTCATAGTTTTGCTTTTCAATATTTTACAAATTGAAACTGTTTAGGATTATTGTAACCCATGCTTTTCGCTCCAGTGTCATTTACCGAAACATAGGCTCTCACTACTAGCTTTGTAGTCTTTCTGGTAAGTTAGCAAAATCGTGCGATGTCACGATTCCAAAGAAACCTCTACACCAGAACTCTGCAATTTTTTGTCTTCTATTTTGTTTCGTTTTTTCTTGTAATGATTTTACTCATAGCTTACTCATTACTGGAGTAAAAGGTTTTAAATACCTTTTCGGGCATTTTTGATTTCTTGGATATGCTCGATGAAGCGTGAATGGGATTGGTGTAAGTTACTCATCCACTTGTCAATGAAAGTTGCATGGTAACACTATCTGTCAAAATTTGCTGACATGCGATATAGATGAAACGGTACATGCATTGAAGCGTTGGAGTATCATAAATTCGTTCGCCTTCAACACAGGGCCCTTAAAGTATATACTTTAGAACAGATATTAGAGCCGAATCTGTAAGTTAGGTAAGGGTCGATCCTGAAACTTGCGAAAACTCGAAATAACAGTTTAGCAATGATGCAGCAGTGTGGAGGAGCAAGTAAGAGCATGCGGCGCAATACATAACTTTAAGGACTAAACTTTTCCTAATTTGCTGGATTGGTAAACAAGTTCTTATCTATCCATGGTATTTTTTGCATTTTGCAGTCTGTCACAAATTCCAAAATTACAATCTTAAGCTGCAGCTTCGGCCTCCACTTGTCTGCCCAAAGTACCAATAACTTAATTAAACGTAAGGTAAATTCTAAGGAAAGCACTTGTTAGATCACGGGGTAATACAAACCGTCCCGTTTCCATTCACAAATTCAATCGGCTTCTCCATCATGTAGTCCACATCGAAGTCTTCCGAGCCCTCGTTCATTCTCGGCTCAGGCTTTATGTGCACCTCCAAAAACTGTAAATGTGACGATGAATGGCTTTCTTGCCCCAAGCCAGCGAAGTCTCCTTGCGTTGATGGAAAACCATGAGACATGGATGCGTAATTCTGCTGAAAGAGAAAACAGTCGCCCGGAGTCAAACTCGGCGGGAGTGTAAACTGCTGCAATCATCAACTTTGTTCTTTGTTTCTCTGGGTTTATCGGTGCTTAACTTGAAAATTTACGGCCATTGATCATTAATGATGAAAACATGTTGTTTTCTGGTACCTGGCGTAAACTCCTTTAAAACGTTCTGTCAAACAAAGAATACTTTACTAAGTCAACCGTGTAATTAGCACCGCCTTCTAAATAGACCAGCTCCGTTTTCACATGGCCTCAAAGGATAAAGAAATCCTCTCTCGGTTAATTACGGTTCCAAATAGAAGAATAGTTATTTTCTTGATTTCCAAAGCCGAAACGATAACGCGGTAGTATAGTCTCATTCTGAGGATCAACAAAGGCTTGCGTGATCATGGCTCAATCTATCAGCGGGATATCATTAACTTCTTCGCAGAAACTGCAGGAATAAAAGTTCATACCTCTTCAAACTCCAGTGCAATTGGGACCCTGGCCTCCATAGGGAACTCGTTCCTTGACAGGCCCCCGCCAAGGGAAGTACGGAGGCCCAAATCTAACTTCCCAGCGGTTTCTTTACCATTTCCCATTCACAGTCAACATGACATGTGCTAACTAACGAATGGAGTTTGATCAGATCAACTGAATTTTGATTGGTTGGTTAACGATACATTAATTGTTCCACAGCGAAGTTACGCTATTGCAGTGGCGATGACCTAATCTTTGTTTTCTTGGTTTAGTGTAAATCGATTATGTTTGAAAAGTCGGAGAAATACTGCCCTAGAGCAGAAGTCAAAGTGTTGCAGCTGTTACAAGGTGGAATAAAAGCGAGCCAGCTACGACCACAAGAACGTTTAAGCGGGGGGAAGTAGGTGATTACATGACGGGTACCAGCGGATTGTCAGGATGTTTTGTGCCGTCACTTTTTACACTATCAATAACTTCTCGGTCCCAGTACTCCATCCTATCATATGTTCACCTCCATGTTTAGACACGCTATAAGTGATTAATCCTGAATAGAAAAACTAGCAAAACAAAAGGGATTCTTTCAAGTTATTTTATTTGGGTGAGTTCACTGGTTAGCAGATATATTTCAGTGAGCGAATTTATTTAGAATCAGCCACCTCACATACGTTGGATTTATAAGCATTATTTTTTGGATAATTATAATGACAGGTTGTCCGATTTAACTGAGTCTCAAACTCTGGGAAACGAACATCGCTGCCTTTTCCACGCCAGTTAAGCAGGGACCGATCACACTGCTTCTTCCGACGGACGTTGATTTGTTTTTTCGTGTTTTCCCTTTGACTCCTACCCGTGAGCTGTGAATAGTTTGTATATAGTTAGATCTTAAGCTCTACGCTTCTTATTCAGTACAACTCCGTCCGACTCGTTCTCAAGTAAAAACCAGCCATATATTCAAGAAGTTGTGATGGGTGTTTTTTCTTTCACGTGAAAAATGCGAAGTGATGAATTTGCAGTTCCTTGACTCAACAAACCTTAGTAATACAATACCTTGCTGAAATACTTCAGAGGACACCCGGATTTGGACTTAGGTAAGGAAAACTATTTCTTCTGCCAAATTATAAAATTTTTCTCGACACGAGACTTGCCTCTTCTACTTTCTAATTCTTTTTATTTCTAATTCTACTTTCGAACCAGTATAGACGGAGGAACCGAGGCCACCACCGCCTCAGAGCTGAAATTTCACAGTTTCATAGGCGGGAGTTTCGAGAGTACTATTCGACTTTATATAACCGATTATTTATAACATGAACATTTTTTAATTCCAATTGTTACATTGCCTAGGAATATTCCAGCTCTGGCTACCGAGGGACTGCCCCGTATTAAGTCCAATTATCTGTTAAAAATGCACCGTGCGAAAGTACAAAGGGTAGGCATGTTTTGGTGTTAATCTATACATATTATATTTAGGACTATTGCACTAACATTGCAAGGCAAATTGCCAGCTATATCATGTGCTCGATTCCGTAAAAAGAAGAAGGGAAAAATACACAAAAAGTGTTGGGCTCCTTCTCATAACAAATTCAAGTTGGGAGAACTTTGCCATCAGATTTCCAAATTTTTTGTCGGTACAAAAGAAAAGCATTACTTTGATCACAGTCACTCAGCGGAATTCCAAGCCGGTTCATCATCATCATTATCATCATTTATTAGCCTTTTTGTTACAGCAAATTTTACAGGATACAGCAGGTTGTTAGGCGAGGAGACCTCAAGAAACCACCAGGCTTTTATAGGGAGGCCACTTCGACATCACAATATTATAAGAAATAAGGGCGGCGAAAAAGTGCGGCTCTGAACTAATTCAGTAACTATTTTAATAAAAACTCTAGCACTTTGTTCTTATTAAAGATAGAAAAGCTTGACAAGTTTGTAACAGATGCAGGAAGACAGTTCCAGATTCTAGGTCCTTGGTAAAGAATTGTGAATTTCTTGATGTTCGTACGACAGGAATGGATTCGATAATTACTGGCTGCTCTAGTGTCATATCTGTGGACTTGAATGTTTGTCATAAACAGATTGCGCAAGAGTGGAGGCAGCAGATTATTGTGGTAGCGAAACATAAATTTAGCAGTATCGAGCGTACTGACTTGGAAAATATCTAGAATTTCCAATTTGGAGAACAGAGGAGCAGTATGTGCTCGATATTCTGAATTTGTAATAGCTCGCACGGCCCGCTTTTGTAGATAGTAAATTCTCAGTTTAAATTAGATACGTAAGTAGAAGACCACGTGTGGTTACAATAAGTAACTGAGGATAAATTAATGTGTAGTAATGTTATGACCTTAGTGGAACAAGAACGGAAACGTAGGATTGTAATTACAAAACAGGCTGGAAGCAGGATGATAACTGTGGTTGGTCCTTCAAAAATGATAGACTGCCAGTATTAAAAATTTGAAGAGGCTTAAAATAATTGGCACAACATGTCATCATATCGACACAGTTTGATTTGAAAGGCCTTGAATAAAGTAAGAAATTCATTTATAACTATTATTATAAGGGGTAAAAACGGGCCGCTGATGCGGTTTGCATTCGAAGCCTCGTTGCCTAGCGATTGCTGAGGAAAGAAAAAAAAATCCCGATTCGGTAGTGCCTGTTTTTGTAAAAAGACTTTTTGATAATATCTACAGACTACGGCACACAACTTAAAATAGCATGCAAACATGGACGTGACCAACGCCTGGAACATGAAGTCAATAACCTTTTTTAAAACAAGTTTCCGTTTACTATCGTTACAGCAGAGGATGTGGAAAGTGTTTTGTGTTGAGGAAAAAACTATGTTGAGATCATGACCATCGTCACACTCTCGGACTGGATAAATCACGAAAAAGTTCGTCTTCGATTCTTAATTGGAAAAAGTTCAGTTCATTTAAAAAAGAAAAGTTGTCAGTGTTACTAATAGCTCAGTGTAGCGGTTTATACAACGAAACCGACGAAATTGCGCGGCAGCTCTTTGTCAAATCAAAACACGCCTGGAAAGAAGTTCTGAGTAACTTTAAACAAACAACAACAACAATAACAAGACAAACCAAAACAAGTCGTAACAGATTAGATAATCCGGGATGTGTGGTTGCGGCATAGTTTTCTTTTACAATAACTGAGTGTTTTCTCTCGCGCTAATAGGTCGAGATCTATGGTCGATTAGAGTAATAGATCAATAGCCTAAATTCTGATAGAAGCACGGAGAGACTATTAAAGTTATCCAGATTTTTATCATTTGTTTTGGTCTTTGTCGATGTCGTTTCTTCTTTCAACTTGCTCTAGTTAGAATTATAAACAATACTTTACGAAAAAGCCTCTTGGAGCAACGCAAGTGACGTAGTCATTGAACTGATAAACAGGCAAGAAAACAGTGGAATTCAGTGAAGTGGCTTTTTATAAAACTGGTAAGGAAGGGTTATAGTTCCCCACAATGAGTCAACAATGACTTCCCCTAACTTTGACTTTATTTATAGTTCCGCCTTCAACTCCATTCAATAAATTAGTAAAATTAAAATTGATTTATTAAAGCACTACAAATATGTTGTGGTGGAAATTTATCCATCATTTGAATTTTATTTGCTCTTTGTCCGTACTGAACATGCCCAAAGAGAAAGGAAAGCAAATTGAAAATTTAAACCAAGGATGAAATTGCACCACAAGTTCAAATACACAGTGTGAAAAAAACTCTGAATACTCTAAAATTTAACAATAAAATGAGTATATACAAGTATAGGTAATATTATCTGTACGGACGCCCTCTTTTACTAAGAAAGCTCGAACCGGCAAGGCAATCGTCAGTAAAATAAGATAATAAATATATGGTACCATTACATGTGTTCTGACAAGTATGTGAAAATGACGTCATGCCAGCCAACCAAATGCTTCGATCCAACTACCTGACCGACGTCAATTTTCTCCTAAAACTCTCCGAATAAGAACGTGAATTACCTTTTTCTAAGCTAATGATAGTTAACACGATTCATGGTAGTATAAATAACTCTTTCTACCTCTAAAGCCCGGTAACGAAATCACACAGATAATATAGATGTTACTTGAAGTAAGACTTTCACTAGCTCTCACTTTTTTAAAACTTACAAAAACGAGGTATGTCATGGGTGATAAAACGGTTAACAGATGGTCTGTATCTATCATATGTTTTTCGATCCTTCTGTATTCTGATAGTTATATTTACTACAACCAACCAAAAACAGCGACACGAAAAATCTTACACACTTAATATGTAACTTCGAACTTCTAGTTTCCTTGCTATGTTTGAAAAACCCAACAAAACAAAAACGAACAGAGGCGGATCCAGGTTTTTATAAGAGGGTGGGTTAATACAAATCGGCCACGAAACAAAACGTTTAATTGAATTTACCTTATGGCGTCTCCAAAACGTTCAAAAATTGGGGAACGAAAGATTGGAATCTAAGAACAATTAAATGACATCAATATCTTCAAATCGTTTATCCTCACTGGCGGTACACGTTTTTACCCGTAACACGAAAACAAAGTTCAGATAAACTGTTATAACAACCATAGTAGTGAGCCAAAAAGGAGGGTGGCTCTGCAACAAATTCACCACTTCTGGATCCGCCCCTCAGGACAAAGTTGAAAAAAATCTACCAAACAACAAGCTGCAAAACCTTCTTAAAAACATTAATATATTAAGCGACTTTCTGTGAATAAATAACTTTCGAATATACTTAACCTCTTACTTACAGTTTTCATAGTTTAACTCATAAATCTCTTAGCTACCTTATAATATAACTCTTTTAAGATCTATCCTAGCAATCCTTGAAACACACTTTGGGCGTTTTTTAATTGCAACTGACATAACCTCGGCTGGGCAGTGTCAAAACATTGGTTTTGAATTCTTTCTTTGCTTTTCATAAGCCACGACAAAACTAATTCCTCAGATAATAACTTTCGCGCTGTAAAGTCACTCGGCACAGCTGGTACCAGACCGATTATCGAAGATTCATGAAGCATAATTAGCCAAGTAATAGTCCATAGTAACATTTAAGCTTTCACAGAATCCGCAGCCGAACTTGTGGGGGTTGTTGGCTTCACTTCTGTTGAGCACGCATGGGGTGACTTAACATCAGTTAGCTGTTCCAACGAGGCAGATTCATTTGACGAAGAGTTGACTAGGCATTTATGCTTCCTTAGCATGCTTTCTAGTTGATCTCTCTGAGCTTTAAGTGCTGCCAGCTCTGTTTCTAGAGCACTGTTTTCATTGTCTAACTCATCACTTTCCTGGAGATGAAAAGAAAGTGCAATGCAGGTTAATGTATAAACTCAACATAATTATTTCAGACCAAAGATTCGGCGGCAAGTTGCACAAACCTTTTTCAATGGGGACAGGGTTCGAGTTAATCAACTTTTCGAAAAGAAGCTAAACCGATTTACTTTATACATGTCTACATTTTTATAGCTTGACTATAAATTTAAAATGCTTTTAAGCTCTTAGGTTCGGCTTGTGTACCTTCTTACTACTATGTTTCCCAAAATCTCCGTCACAATGAGTCAAGACCAGTCAACTGGGCCTCAACGTTAGAGAAAAAGTTTTTTACAGAATACATTTGTATGATTTGGTAACGTGTTTTCATGTTAACACGAATTATTTTAACTTTCAGAGAGAAAGGATCTTTTTGAAAAAAACCTTTTTCATACATTCTACTTTACTTTCGGACTTCTTTTACTCAGTTTTAATTCGGAAACAGCGAGAAAGAGTGTGTGATATTTATTGTAAAGGCAATACCTACCCTAGCTAATAAAACAAGAAACAAGATATGCGCTTACTATCTTTTAAGACTAAAATGATGACTCCAACTATTAACAAGATGGTTCAATTTCCTTTCTAAACAATACTCGACAAAAAGTGTGGGCTTGAAACGTATCTAAACGACCGCGCCCATCCGAATGTACATCGATAGCGTAGGTGTTACGCCAATGTTTGCTGGTATGACCAAATTGGGGTTCAAGTTCAAAGACCGAGTAGGGACGTGCCAATTGAAAAAGTATCCGTTCGGAACTAAAACGGAATCGGAAGGATGGAGGATTATATCAAGAATGTCGCGAGTCATGTGTGTGACTTTACGTATCCGGTTAAAAATACGCGTGACAATAACTTGAATATGATGTCGGAATATTAAAATAATTTTCAATTTAAAACACTCACGTCTTGTAGTTTCTGCATGTGTTCTTTCCTTCGCTGCCTGCATTTAAAAGCCGCTACCTTGTTCCTTTCCCGTCTAATTCGCCTCCTCTCTTCTTCTTCAAAAGAAAGCTACATGTGAAAATAAAAACAATGAAGATGAAATCATCCATATACGTGACTTGAACAACATCTCAACACATTAGCATATCAATTGTTTCACAAACCGCAAAACATAACAACGTTAAATTTGAATCGAAATAAAAAATCTTGTAACTCTGCCAAAATACACAGCGACTTACCGTCTCGATTTTCGGTCTTTTTTCTTCAATGACAGGCAGCCCTTCTAAGCCCTGCGCTACTCGCCGAGTCTTGATTGCTTTTCTGAGTCCTAATTTGACTTCTTCTTTTGCCCCACTGTTAGTCATTGGACCATTCATAAGCTCCGTGTAACTTGTCGCATCTTCGCTTGAAACCTGTTATTATATGTAAACGAAATTTTAAAAACATTCGGTGAATGTTTTACTTTTAACTAAAATTGTCGAATGGCAGCATTAAGGCAAAACAAAGCCACGTGATTATTTATATAGAGCGATTTTTGTCGAGTCAGTTGTCCTTCGAGTTCGTTGCAGCAGTAGGAGCACTAACAATAGAAGGATGACTTAAATCGATCCACGATTGAGCAATGTTTTATGATTTTGAGTCATGCTGCCTTAAATGAAGGATTTTCCCCTAAATTGGTTGAGCATTGCAAATACATAACTTGATCGGGGAAAAAATTAATACAGTCACGTCCATGAGAGCGTAATATTTTGAATATAAATTGAAAGTTTGCAAATGTCACTCAATACTGATCGAATGAAAAAAGCTCCAAAAAATATAAAAGAAAAAATTGAGCTTACAATCGAGTCGCTATCCGATTCATCCAAATGGTAAGGAACTGGCATTGTAGTTCCTCCAGACAAAATATTTCTTTCGTCGCTTGAGTTTGTGTCCATAGGCAATGGCAGAGGCAAGTGGCGCATCAACATGTTCGTGGCCGTAATTTTAATTCAACTTGCACGTGGGCGAAATCAAGCACACGCGCCAAATAATCCTTTGTCAATAGTCAGGCGGTCCTTTCCCTTGTTTGGCCTCTGAGTCACCTCTATTTCTGGGAAAGCCCCATCGAACGCAGCTATATATCAGAGCGGCGAAATAATTTGAATATACAGCGATTACGTATTGTTCCTAGTTTAGCATAGAGTCTATTGCGTCATAGGGATTACAGCGAACCAATGACTTGGCCGTTGTTAGGGCAACATATTATACAGTGCAATCTAGAATAAACAAGATCAGATATCTGGGCATGAGGGTAACTTGAATGTCTTGTTTCTGTTCAGCAGTTCTTTTTATACACATTCAAAATCACTGTTTTTGAATTGGACAACCTAATTCCACCCGACTCTGAGGTTTTCTTTCAACTTAATTGGAAAATAAGTCACGATTTTAAATGCGGTATGTAACATTCTAGAAAAAAGAAGTCGTGCGTGACTATTTGTTAATTATGCACAGTCCAGACGGATTGCGAAACTTTTACTCGCCAACGCGCGTCGTCTGTGTTGCAAAACTGATTCGATTGTTCTTCGATTGGGAAAGACGAGAACAAAAAATATGATGGCAGACAAACAAAAGTGCAAATATCAAAAGCTAGGTAGTATTAAATCATTTTTTCTGTTCTCCTATGCCTCAGCTCTTTGCCCCTAGGTCCTAGACTTCCCCCCTCTGTTGTTGTGCATCGCATTTTTCTCGGCTTGCGTAGCGGGACTTGAGGGCAAGTCTAAGTTGACCGTGGCGCAGGCCAAAGTGATCAAAATAGAATTTATCACAAACCCTAAATTTCCGGGGATTCCTTGGGAAAGCTACCATAGGCCCAGGACAAACCCGGAAACCGGAACCAAAAACAGAGGCCACTCAGGTGCAAAAAATTAATAATAATAATAATAATAATAATAAGCGTCGCATATTAGCCATCAGCGATTCAGCGCTGTGTCAGTAGGAATCAGCTCTTGTACGTTAAAGAAGACACAAAATTACGTTCGTTTTTTTTGTTTTCCAAGGTGTTCATTTCAAGTAAATGCGTCAATAAACGATGAATCTCGTGCATATCATTCAGTGCCACAGATAGATAAAGAAAGTTGGAGATTTTCAGCCTTGAATTTCAGGCGATAGATGAACATAATTGCGTACATCTCTGTCTCAAACAACGAAAGCTACGCGTATTTGCTTTTCCATGCGTCACTCGGGAACAGGTGCCATTTCTGCATGCTATCTCGTGACGTTCGGATACCGGGACTATAGCTTACGCAAAGAAGATTTCAGTTTCAGCAACAAAAAGATTAACATTTATCGTGATAAAGAATTTCTGCATAGTCATGCCACCATTAATATATAAGCATGAGTTAATTGTCACAATGGCTGACCCTATTGTGGCGTAATCTCATTAGATTAGGATTTCATTGTTGTCACACCATCCTAGGTTATCAGCATTGTCTGTCTCGTGAAGACGTGAAAACCCCAATTTCCGTATATTGCAAGCTTGCCCTGGATGCTATTTACTAAGTGCAATGAGACATTCGTGTAAGGCAAGATTTGTCGCCGTTTTTGGGTGCAGTAGACCTAAATTTGAACCGAAGTTCTTGTTGCAAAGATGAACTTTCAAACTGAACTTTCGAACTTTGAAAGTACGTTTTAGTAGTATCGTTGTGTTAGTTGCGTAAGCCGTAGATTTGATGTAAAATCACAGAATCAGCCGATTCACCTGAATGCAATGTAATTATACTGCACGATGTCAATGCGGTGCGATGTGCCACTTACAAATAAAACTGTTGTGTTGTTCTTTTTTTGTGGGGGTCGAGGACCAGGCTGAGGTTTTAGGCGTCGAAATCAATTCAGTCGAATAAAGTAGCCGTTGTCGAAAGCAAATCATAGAAACAAAAAACAAGTTTTAATCAGCTATTAAAATGCATTCTTATTTTCATACATTTAAAATAATAATGATAATAATAATATATGAATTGAGTGCGGTGGCGTATTACCATTCACTTACAACAAGCAGACTATTTAGTTTTGCTTAGCTAAGAATGACACTTCAGAAAACGTTATATCACATCCGCAAACTCGCTGATAATAGAAAAATGATAATAAATGTATAGCGTTGAATCGGATGATTTGCAATCGAGGGCGCGAAACGCTCTGACGTCACTAAAAAGTGAAAGCATTAGTGTGTGTTTACCAACAAGTGGGCTGAAAAATCTAAAACATCAAAAGAACTTTCTGATAACTCCACGAATGTACATATTTATTATGCTACGTCTGCAAAAGATTAGCTGTAAAAAATGTAACGGGTTTGTGAAGTTGGGCCGATCGATCTCAAAAAACGGCGAAGCCTATAAAAGTCATCACGCCTCAATATCTGTTGTTATCCTGTACTCAAAGATATTTGAATAAACATTATATTCCACTTGAGTTAAGCGTATTCCGATAGTGGACTTTCGTTCTACTTTCAAGATTTCTCAATCTTCTAATTCAACAATTTTCAAAGGAAAACAAAATGTTTTCTTTCGCCCTTTTCTACGACACAGACGCATTGACGTAACAGCAGGTGAAGGTATAGAGCTTCTTGAAAGTTAAACCCGCCAATTTGTATACAGTCTTAGGCCGTGAAAAACCTTGAGCTGCCTTCACACTGTCGTGGTCGCTGAAACTTGCTTTAAGCAGCCCACGTCATATAGTGTCTGTCTTCATCATCATTGTTAATTAAGGCCAATGACCCATGGGGTAAAAAGCTCTTTTATTGCGAGCATGTTGTGTTCCCAGACTTGATTTGAATCAACCTTTAAAGTCAGGTTGGAACCTCGACTTAACGAACTCTTACTTAACGAATACTTAGATATAAAAAAAAATATGCTCTACTCTTCTGGCACTTTTTATATGGGTCGGGCTTTCACTGTTTAAGGTGGAGCAAGCACTTTCATTCGTCCTAAATTCATCGGGTGCAAATCTCTCGAGGTTTGCAAAATTAAAGCTAGTTCTCTTGTTAACGTATCCATTTCCCTTGGCCAATATTAACCTCATTAGCGGTTTGGATGCGTTTCCAAAACACTGCTCTTCGGAAATGGGTGAGACCCCTTTCACGGTTGAAGTGGTCCGCGAAATAACTGCAGAGTAGCCAGTGTGTTGATATTCACACTGCAAGATTTCTACTACAGAATTCAGTGTATCACTACAGACACACACAGTTCACTGAACCTATCATGTTAATCCGTCACGCTCAGGACGAGGAAATCATTTGATTTGAGACATATTTTACAACCAAAGTACAGTTTGAACGTTTTCGGGTATTCCTCAATAAAAATAAATGAACAAAGAAGGAAAGAAAAAGAAATAATGTGTTTTAAACGTCCATTTCTAAAAAAGTTGCGATTTTCTAGGTTGGAGTATTATTTACGCTTTGCTGTGGATGAAAATTAAAAAGCAGTCTGTAAGCTCCTACGCAGGTAAATAAACGTCAAGAAATACGTTTTAATGAACATCGATTTTCGGATTAGGTTTCAGACGATAATACGACATTGTGGCACAATTTTCTGTTTTAACTGATATTGAAAGGTGAACTAATTTGCTTTTGTATGCGTCACCATAAACTCCTGATCAATCGAGATGACGAAATTACAGACTGGCTTGTGACGTCAAGATTTACATGGACTTCAAATGCCAGTAAACATGTACGGGAGAAAAAAATGTAAATTTTTAGAAGTCTTCTCTGTTTTCAAGCGAGTCACCTACATTAGACAAGAGCACTAATTACGTAAATTTGGTTCTTTATTGCACTGTCTACGTTGTCAAATTTGGAACAAGTGAGAAAACAAAATTTTCGCCATGTCAGCTATTGTCTTTGGTTTGTAGAAGTCATAGATTTGGTGCAAAAATCGCAGGCGTGGCAGATTTAGTTGTACATAGCGAATCGAATCAAATCTATCAATAGAAATATGAATTAACATGTTTTTGTCGATATGGTTCAAAGAAAATTATCACATTCTCTTCCCACAATAGCGTGACTTTACTTAGACAGATCCTCACGTGTTGTTTAAAGTCATGCGATATCACGTCGTTTTAAGGTATTTTAGTATTTTGATGAATATTTGTCAGATTTTATTGAGCTAAACGTCTTACTTTAGTGAACAGCTTACTTTTTTTAAGACTTACTTTAACTTAGCTTAAGCTATATTTCAATTGTTTGGGTCGGAAGATGTTGCATATTAAAATTCAGCTGTCTCGTGACTTCCCAAAATAGTAACAGTGTAATGTACAAGTTTGTTATTCGAAATTATCAATATTGGCATGACAGGGCAAAGAATTTTGTATCAAAAACATTAATTTTAAACTTTCTGGTGGCTCCAAAAATGGAAAATCGCTAATCTCCGAACTTGGCTCGTGATGGGCCCTCTTTGCTGAGTCATAGGTAGTCTGCTTATCACTTCACAAAACTGACACCGGCAAAAGAAAAACATGTAGGAGGCTTACACTGACAGAACACTATCACATATTCTCCAGAAGCGTCCCGGTTTAAAGGATCGCTTGCTTCTAATGTGTTTGTACTGAATACAGAATTGCGAAAGGTTAACAGCGTAATGGCTTGGGATCGATGCTGATTTCAATATCATTGATACTTAAGTTATTCTCATAAACTTAACTAGAATGGTTTCGCTAAGAGACTGAGATTGTAAAACATTTTCTTTCACCTGTATCTCACCTCTTCTGCCGCCTTGGACTTAGCTTAGAATAAAAGGGACGAAAACCCAAAATTTCTGGGGATTCCTTGGGATAAGTCGATTTAGGGACAAACCCGGAACTTGTCCCAGATCCATAAAAAAACACATGGTCACTTAAGAACCAAGAAGACACCTCACATGTAGTAACTGCAATTCTGAGCTTTTTTAGAGTCAAACAGCAACAGGCTCCTGCTACAAAGAAATTTCCGAGGATTTAATAT